GGTTAGAACGCTGGCCTTGTAATCCTGGGGTCTCGGGTTCGATTCCCGGCTGTGCCCGAATTTATAACTTGTGTTGGGCAAGGCCGTGGTCTAGGCAACACGGAGTTTTCCTCCGTGGCATCCCAACAATTACTCCATTCACACACAGAAGAAGGCAATGGCAAACCACTTCTGGATCATCTGCCAAGAACGTATATGAACAGGTCCCAGTCCGAGAAAAGGATGGAAGGATCCTGTTCATATGGACCTGTCGTCAGACAGAACACTAAATAAAATAAAATAAATACTTATCTTTATATTATGTTTTATTGTATAAAGTAAATAGTGTGTGGACTGGAATAGATCCCTCCAATGTACATGGTACTGAATATGCGGATAATTTCTCGACACTTTGGGCACCGGACAGTTAATTCGATTAGGTTGTTTAACAGAATACTAGAATTCTTACAGAATCCAAGCATTACTCTTGCGTGAAAATGTTCCGGTAAATTCCACTTCTGTTCTGATCCGACCGTGGCAAAACCTAGTTCAACGAGTTGAACAAAGTTTCTATATTACTTGATTAAGATTCAGATTCGAAATCTGGAGTGTTGATCGGTTGTCCTTGGCTTCCGACCTTCCTAGTCATTGATGCAACGTTTCTATGTTACATAAAAGCCAAGGCTAGGAGTACCTAGTGTCCTAGGCTCATAGAGACGGATTGTTCTAGAATGCTCCCGTCTCAAAGCATTCACGACAAGAGAATCTCAACTGACAGCCAGATGCTGCATGTACAGTCGGCTTCATAAAGTGCAGATCAACGAGCTGATAAGGCGAGGAGAATATGTTTCGCGGTATTTTTAGACTTCTACAAGGCTCTTTTTTTTCAAATTGCTGAATAGAACGAAGCTGACGGAAATTAAAGTGGCGTCTGTTGTCCTTAATGCCCTGATGCGACTCTCCACGAAGGTAGGCATGGCACCGTTTACTACGAATACGGACATAAGGCCTGAAACAGATTTGGGGTCAACCTCAAGGCGCAGGGCACCGTTTGTCAAGGCAGGTTCACGTGTCCCTGAGCGCGAACACTACGATCTGAAAAACGAGAAAGTGCTTAACGCGAAAAGATCAATGCGATTTTATTAATCGATAGGGAATGATAAAATCAAACTGAGAGTTGCCTGGCAGCTCACGGATTTCGCCACAAGATCTGTTGAAGAGTCTAGTACCACGGCCTCGAAGTGTCGTTTGTGTGGCCGACGATGCGTGAGGGAGGAATCTGTACTCCGCGTTGCTGTCGTCATAGGATCCGCTTTGACGACACTTGCTTTCAGTGAATGGTTGCTCACTCTCGCAGAAGAAATTGGCTCGTTCAGCGCGGAAAACGTTCCCGACAAATAGCACGAAGCGCTCTCTGCAATGACGCCAGATGGAAACGTTTTTTGTGCGCGCGACTGTAGGGCAATTGCGGCGAGATTAGGTTACGTTCCATGAGACCTCGATTCGACATGGAGTAGAATAATTTCGAGGGAATATTAAGTTCTGTGTGACATGGAAGCGACTGAAAGCATATTTATCGAACATTCAGAATCCTACCACGTTAAAGACGAAATACTTGAATAAGTTGGTCGTCTTCAGGGTTGTAGCGCCGTGTAGCCTGGAAGAATTTGCCAACTTTTCAGACGTTCTCATCGCCCCGATGACGGAGTCAGCAAGGACCTCTGAAAAGTTGATAAACTTCTTCGAGGCTACACGGCGTTACAACCCTGAAGACGGCCATCTTCTGTATGAAGTCATCGTTCATCCTCTGCATGTGTTAGCGATTGAACCACTGATTTTTTTGTGCTCTATAAAATATTCTTTCCAACTCAGTAACTTCGACATTTGAGTTATTTTTCTAATTAAGTTAATTTCGATCGCCATTGGCATCTGAACATGACCCATATTTCACAGCGGAGTGTTAAAAAAATTCCACTGATGTTTTATCGATTATCTTTTTACATTCCTGTAGATGTGTTTATCCCTAAAAGAAATGTTTCAACGTCCTATCACCTTTCGACCCTGTTGAATTCTAATCTCAGTTCCCATATCACCAAAGCCCTCGTCCTTACTTACCAATTTGGTTTACATATGGGCCCAGTTTTCATCTCAACGGGCACAAGACTGAGTAGAACGTGTGTGTTCGGGGTAACTCAAATGTTGTTGGCTTGCAAACAAATGCCCTCAAGAAAGTTATGTTCACCATAAAGTCCAGAACATACCCAATCACTTGAGAACGTAAATTACCATGAACAACACTCGATCATCACTGACAAAATGGAGTCCAAGTTGTGTTCTTTGAAATCTGAGATTATTCCCTACAAAGCCGAAGTAATGTAACGAGTCTTTGATACCGCAAACCAGCAGTGCAACCGCTCCGAGCTTTCTGCTACAAAAATCTTACGCGTTTTTCAACTGGATACGGGAAGATAGAACGGAAATGTTGTCTGTAAAACCCACACACCCTGCTAATGGAACCATAATTAGCACTGGTAGGCTAGCTGCCCCACACAGCTCTGTTTCGTAAGTTTCCTTTGACAAGAACTGTGCTTATGGACGGTGTAGAAGAATATCGATTCACAACGAACACAGCAAAGAATTTCCGGGACTCCATGCGTTAATTACAATTAGTTACGTGAGACATTTGTCATACCGTGGGACCAACTTTTAATACCTGTGTCGTAGAAGTCTGCCGCCTGGGATTGGAACCACTGTGTGACAGCCATCTCCGCCTCTCTGTCATTCTCAAAACGCTGACGCTGACCGGACAGGAATTTCTTGAGGTGTAGGAAAAGATGGAAATCACTGGGAGCGAGGTCCGGGCTGTAGGGTGGATGATTAAACACCTCCCAGCTGAACTCCTGCAGGAGACTTGCTGTCCGTTGAGCCGTGTGCGGCCTAGCGTTATCACTGGCCGCACTTCACAGTCGGCGGGAGCTGGAATAAGAATCTCCATCTTCAACAGCTGCAACGATGCTACTGTGAGAACGCGGGAAGTACCGTTAGTGCATGCGCCATGCTACGTCATTGCTCTATCACGTACGCACAGTCGCTTCGCTCAATATAAGGTTTGCTAGCTGTGGGACGAGTGGGAAACTTACTTTTGGGACGCGCCTCGTACCACGAAAGGACAACACATCTGCCTAATTTGAACCAATGATGGAGAAAGCTTAATGTCTTTTCCGAGACGTGCGACTAGGTTCCACGGCAAACCGAAGGCGAAGTCTATCCCCTGCTTGAACCCGCTCTCTGGTTGGTTGGCGTAGAACAGAATTGATGCAAAGGTCAAACATGAGAGTTCTAGTTGTGACTTCGGCAATTGTTTTCCTTTTTATATCCATCTAATGTCTATGTTGGATTCATACAAATACTCGTTTAAACTGTGTAGTTGCCACCTATATCTCGCAGTTTGCTGAGCAAAGTGACTTTCCGCTTACGACGCGTCGTGGTACGTCGAAATCGTAAGATTCGGCTCCTCTTGTGAGGTAAAACAGTGAACCTTCTTCCTCTGCCTTCCTGGCCAAAACATAAGATGTCGACATTAAACTGTATCTTTGTAATTTTATTGTCTTGTAAAATGACGTGAGTTTCGTGTTTGTCTACGATGAGGTCTATAGGCCCTAAACGTCATTCATTTTGTATTTTCATTTATTTATTTTCTCTCTTTATTATTCACATTCGGGGACGAAGGTTTTGTGTAACTACTCTGGATACAATGCAGAATCAGGTAGTAACTTCAAAACTTTGTAACGTGTCTCCATGATTATCTTTCCTCTCGATAATTTCGATCCAACCTGCAGATGCCTTAAAGGTAAAATCAATATTTCCAACCTTTCCCGCTAGGAAAACACCGGCTGCTGGTAGAGTCGTTAAAAATTAAAAATAAATAAATACAATAGAAAAACACCCACACACACCCCCCCCTTCGGCCGTCCTGCGTTTGCTTGGGATCGCTCTGACGTCAGCTTCCGGGACCTCCCACTGCAGATCTCATCAGCCACTTTGGTAGCCTGTTCCGGCCTCTGTCGTATTACAATGTTCCGGTTTCCATCGCTGATACGGGACATTTGTTTCTCTGTATTCTGCCAAAGAATCAAATCCATTTCTCTACGTCTCTTTATTCTCAGAAAGTCGCTGTTTTAATTAAGTCTCACCACGGATCTGTCCTTTGTTGTAATGTGGCCCAATCATCGCTTAATGTCAAAAGTAACCAGGACTTTGGATTTATAATCCTATCGCACTAAGCGCATAGGATTATATGCAGATCACGTCCTGCAAAACAAAGGCAATCCTACGACAGGAAATTGTTTCACAGTACGGCTCCAACAGAATGCTCCGAGGTGTCGAGAGAGCGAAGCGCCTGCTCTGCGACGAACAACAACAACCACTGCTTCGAAGCGGAAGGAGACACGTGAATCTTATTCGCCGACAAAGTTACGCAGATATCAGCCTAGAGAGAGGCTGATGATGCGGGAAATGAGAAACACGTACAAATGTTTGGGTGGGAAACCTGGAGAGCACAGACCACGTGGAAAACCTAGCCGCAGATGTAAGGACGAAATTAACGCAGTAAAAAAAAAAACCGGATTCGATCGCATAATCTCTGAATAAATCTCAGATCGCTGAATCATGTGCTAAACCAGATTTATTTGCTAGATTTGGAACTTGAATTACCTAAATAATAACTTAAAAATACAAGTTTTATAAGGCTAAAAATTTGTGTAATATGAAAATAGGTTTCGTGATTTCTACTCGGAAATCGTTGTTCACCACACAGACCAGAGGAATCAGTCACAAAGATTTACATCTATTTATTACCAAAAAATCCGCGGAACTATATATATATAGAAGAGAATCCCGGGAGATCAGAACGTGGATTTCCGAACTCTGTTCAAAATTATGCAAAGCACGGACTGACGTCACGATTACTTCCTTGTCTACTCAGACAACTCTTACGCTAACCATCCGCTCTTTATTTCAAGGATACGGCAACACGACACCGCAGACAACGGCCGGTAAAGCCGTAGTGATTATATACGGCTTCCTGGGCTGTTCCGGAGGAATTCTCTTCTTCAATCTGTTTCTGGAGCGCATAATCACGTTCCTGGCGTTCGTACTGAGGATGGTGCACCTTCGGAGACTGAAGAAGCGCATGGAAAGCGGGGGGCTGGGTGCCCGGAGGGCTTCCCGCATTTCCCGGGCTTCGCTGCCAGAAGACCTGGACGAGGATGACTCCAGCCTCGATCACTGGAAACCGAGTGTGTACTGGGTGATGCTGTACCTCACGGTAGCCTCGGTGACCCTCGCTCTCTGCGCCGCCGCCGTGTACACGCCCTTCGAGGACTGGAGTTTCTTCGAGTCCATCTACTTCTGTTTCGTCTCCTTCGCCACCATCGGCTTCGGAGACTACGTTTCAACACAGGTTAGCTCAGTAGAATCTGACGTTTTCACGGAGCTGAGTACGAACACGGCTGTCTTCTGGATTGTAGCGCCGTGTAGTTACCGACGTTTCAGAGATGCTTACTGCCTCCATCATCATCACTAATCGCCCCCAGATAATGGAGACATTAAACATCTCTCAAACGTCGGTCAATTTCTATCAAGACACAATTCCAGTTGCTTTAATGACGAGTCTAGAACACTCTCCGCCGTCAACAGGGCCCGAGGAACTTAGTCTAAGCATTCGGACATGTTCGGTTCGAATCTCCAGTGGGACATCGACTTTCCCGGCGCGGGTTTCCTCATCCAATACAAACTAATGTCGTAATGGAACTTTAGAAAGAGCCATGGTCTTCCCCTGCCCAAGTCGTTTCGTATTCACCGGAATCAATCACCATGTCATCACGTCTCGCCAAAATAACAGCTGTGGCTTTTACAAGATCATCACGACGCGCCCATCCAATCATTTAGAGACGCTGTTTTAATTACAATGTTCATTGATCATCCGAAGAAAAGGTAAGAATCTGGAATTATCTGGTCATGGTATTCGCATGTAGAGACTGAGTAAAATTGCGACAAATCACACGGCCCTCATTACATACATACACACACACACCTTCGCCTACACATATACGCCTATTTGCATGAATGCATGTGTGTTAATACATGTAAAATCACACGAAGGTTTTTATTATTCGTGAACGTAAACTCCACATGTTTCGGCTGATCGCCATCTTCAATGCCAATACATTATTAGGTGTCTTCACGCACTGCTACAGGGGCTGTCCGTCCATCCATGCGCGCGTACAACCTCATGATTAATTATTATTATTATTATTATTATTTATTTGACTGCAAATGGGTTTTTACCCGGTGGCAGTGGTCCTACAATAAGACACAACAAAACATAAGACAACAATAACAATAAGAAACAACAGAACAATGAGACACAACAAAACAGTAAGACAAAAAGACATAAGACACAACAAAAACAATAAGACACAACAAAACAATGAGACACAACAAAACAACACACCACACTCAAAATAAAACAGCTCATAATATTACAAAACCGTATAACCTAAAGTACATAACTTAAAAATTAATACCAACTAGACATAAGTCAGTAACAGTAATGAATCACACGTTTCATCAGGACCTTCTCTTCACTTCACTACACTTATGAAGCCTTCCCATCCTCACCCCAATTTACCCCCCTTCACTGCACCCACCCATCTATTCCCTTTACTTCACCTCATTTATCACTTTCCTAACCTTCTTCCTAAACGTACTTGGTTTACAGGAGAGAGTCCCTAAAACCTCAGCAGGTAGCTGGTTCCAGAGTTGGATGGTCCTATTTACAAAGGAATATTTTCCGATAAGTTGCAACAAGGTTCTTGGGTAAAATTGGAGAAAGAATGAGTTGAGACCAGCAATGACATCGTACTGGATAAATTCAACAAGCACTAACGTGAAGAACACCTTTGGAATGTCGGTGTACTGCGAGGAGTACGCCTTTCTAACCTCGTTTCATTGCTTTAACCCTGAAGATGGCGATTATCCAGAACTTGTAGGGTTTACAGACATGACTAATCAGACGGCAAACAAGAAAAATATTACTACTCGATACTACGACAGTATTTAGGATGTAGTTATGTTACGTTTGGCTCCGGGTGTTCCTACCGAGTGCCGGAGAACTGCGCTGTTTCAGGAGCCGTCGTACCCTCACGTGCACTGGTACCGATTCGGAAACTTCGTCTTCACCGTCCTGGGCTGCTGTTGCATCTACTCCCTTTTCAACGTCACATCCATCGTCATCAAACAAGCACTGAACTGGCTGATCGTCCGTCTGGACTGCCGGTGCTTAGAAGACGCAACCGGCGCCGCTGGACGGCTCTGGAGACGCCAGTCCATGAGGCTCCAGCAGGGCAGAAAGCGCCGAAGAAGGCGATCCAGCGCTGGAATGCCCGCAAACCTACGACGTCATCGGAAGCCCAACGTCGCAGCGGCGCTGGGGCGACGCCCGCCCGTCTGCGGCGTCGTACCAGACGGCGATGCCAAGACTTCGAGCAGAGACGCCGACTCCGATTCCATGGGTTATGACTCCGAAGGCGATGGCGTCGGCGGAGGAAGGCGTCTGTCGGGAGAGATGATATCCATGAAGGACTTCCTGCAGGCGAACAAGGTGTCTCTGGCTGTGATGCAGAAGCAGTTGTACGAGACGGCTCAGATGCAGAGGGGGGGTTGTCACTACGGCAACGAGAGAGGAAGCAGCGGTTCCGGGCGGAGACCGCCTGGGAGTTTCACGCCCGGCACGGTAGGGCCTTTGGCAATAGTCACTCAGAAATTAGGTGACAGTGGCAGCGGAAGGTAACGGGCAGATCTGTGTTCTGAGGCTCCAGAAGGTCGTGGAGCTTTCGACTTGGTGAGGGTGTGTCGATGACTAGAAGTGCAGATGCATGGACAAATACGAGTGGGCTGTGAAAAAGAAGAAATCCGATCACTTCCGACGATGCAGGGAGGAATTTCAGCAAATGTGATAATTCCATTCCATTATTTCATAGATATTCTAAGGAATTAAATTAATAAAGCGGGGACAAGACGAAAATATTCCTGACTCCCTCCAAAAGAAAGGAGGGTCCAGGGGCAGTCGACTGAGCCTAATTCTGCATAATTATTGGTGGTGTCGATTGTGGCGTTAAAGCCTTGTATTCTTGCAGGTAATTACCAGCGTTTCGGAGGGACTTATCTCTTCTATCTTCAGGGCGGTATTACAAGCCAAAACTCACAATACATATAACGTGTATGGAGAAATTAAATGCATTATTTTCTGTTTAAGTAATACAGTAGCGTTATTTTGAGACATAAAACAAATTTTCAAACCATAGCAGTCTGTTCATGTACATTTAAAGGACAATTTTTAAAAAGGAATCAAATTTAACCTGTAAAAGATTTGTTGCGTTGGAAGGGCGTATGAAACATGATGTATAAGCTCTGAAAATATGTATTTGTTTCGACCTGCAATGGACAAGTTCGGCCATAATAATACTTTGCCATTCTCAGAAGCTTCTAGACCCCACGAAAGATTGCGGTCTGTAATTGATGGGGAAACCGTAGTATTGAAAATGTTTCAAGTGTTATACTGAGCACAAATAAATCCAAGTGGATTCATGCATGAATCTGAATCCGTGAATTGTGTTTTAATTGGTACAAGCTGAAAACACGCAACTCCCATTGATACGCTACGTTAATTTTCCATTAACGTTACTAAAATACTCATATTTTACGGAAGATGTTTTCGAGAATTGACAAATATGACTTGTAGAGGTCTAAACCATTTCACTGTTGCTATGGAAACCAAGGAAACTGTGTTGGATCGTAGGCGGAATCTCTCTGCCATTACTGACTGACTGAAGGATGGGAGGCCGGGGTTCGAACCGCTGGAGAAGCGTCGAGAACCGTATTTTAAGCTCCGGGTTCAGAGAGATTGGAGCTGAGTCGCCCTCGAATCAAATGAAACCGGTCGCCGTGAGGATCTGCATCACTCTTTTCCTCGCCAAATAATATTATCACGATCAACCACAGGAGGAAGTGATGGATGGGACAGACGCGAATCGTGTGCATAATGTTTAATGGAAAAACCGAAGGGATGAGACGAACTTGAAGTCCTAGGTGCAGATTTGACGATAATATTAAAATGTATCGAAAGACGATAGATTGCGAGTTTTTGGACTGGGTTTATTTGATTCGGGATAGAGCCTGGTCACGGGCGTTTGTGAAATCGGGGATGAACCTCCGGGTTGGATAGAAAACGGGAAATTTCTTTGCTCGCTGAGCTATTATCGTCGTTTGAAAAAGAAAAACATCATTCAGCGTACTGCAGGAAACAGGGTGTTTCACCAGGGTCCCGACGGATGCCGTGAGATGGGCTTCTCGCGATGCGCCTGCCACCTCCAGTGCGACGTGCCCACTTTGAGGCGAGTTCACAGAGCAACTTCGCAGCCGAGACGAGCAGTCCCACCATCAGGTAGACGAACACGACAGTCACATGACGCAGACGAATGGACTTGACTCTGTCACTCGAACAGGTCGCGTACTGCCACCAGTGCAGACCCTGCAGTCGCTTCTGAATCCCTCCTTCCGACATTTTCCTCAGGCTGTGGATAAACAAACAATTTCAACGACGCCAATTGTCGTGGTTCTGCGTGCGATCAACACTGGCACCACGTAAGGTAGCTTTGGTTCCTAACCTACGAATCCGCAAGTTATCATGACACACAAGACCACAATCTAAACTCTTTCAGAAATTGTGATTTTCATTCCTACGTCGAATGTAGAAAATTGAGGAATTTAACGAAGTTACGTCAGTGGGGAGGGCTTCAGTACTTACTAATAATCGATGGCGTTTTTGTAGGGCAAGTCCTGTCTGACGCCGAACGCTCCGTATGTAGTGAAGTGATCGGTGGGGACGTCGGCCAGACGACAGACGAGCGCGTCGAGTTGACCCCGGATTCGCTCGTCAAGATCCAAGAATGCAGCAGCCTTATTTTTGGACACAAGTTTCAGGCCTTCGGGGACGTTTGCAACTCGGGAACTTTGTACCCTTCTGATCTTCTGTTCGTATAACTCAGACACAGCGCGGTCTTGCGAACGCTGACGGGAAAACAAAAGTTTCACGATCACAAATAATCAGGGAGGATAGACAAGTCGACAAGTCTCTAGTTCCTGCCTCCATATTTGTTTTAACCACGTGAATAAAATTTATTTTTTCCTGGGAAATTTTTTCTTGGACTTTGTCCATCGTCTAAATTATAAATAAAGTCACAACAAATAGGTTTTCTGTCCTTTTATTTTTTTACCTGTAGAAGGAAGCAAAAACCAGGTTGCGAAACATTCAGACTTTGTCAAAAATTGTTTTTTTATCGATTGTCGAGTCGTCATCACCCCCCCCCCCCGAGTCCGTTCTCTTGAACTTCATAAATTAATAACTCAAAGTTTCCCGTTCATAGACGTCCCTTGGTACGCATGTGCGTGCCCTGACAAAAGCCACGCGTTTTAAAACATTTAACCTATAACAGGCGTACCTTGCGTCTTTCAATTTGGTCCCGTGACTTTGTCATTCGCCCAGATTTTGTGGGCTACGAACTATAAGCTGAGAAACTGTATTTTCCAGTTTCAGAGTGGTCGGGCGACAAAAGAATATGATTCAGAGTGGAACTTAAAAGTCCGGCACTTTGAGCTGTGAGGCTTCTCTTCTAGACAACAGAACAATAACAAAGCTTTCAAATATTTATTCGGAAAAACCTCCACATTTTCCTTGTTTTCCGTCCGCACTGAAGCAGACGCCGGTCGCCGCGTGTTCTTGGCTCCACGTCAAGGACACGCGGCGACCCGCATGAGCGTGTACACGAGTGCCAAATGCGATTTGTTTACGGCTGTTAAATTCCGCTTTATTGACGGTATCTAATGGCAACGTCGAATACATTAATGACAAACACTCTTTAAACAGTGTGGCTGTGTCACTCTTGGAAATCTTTTCGCTTAGAGCCGAGTGTTTAATTAAAATTAAAATTAATGTGTAAAAATAACGGGAAAACACGGTTAAGTTTATGCAAGAAAAGTGTTTGATAGTAAATTACGTTCAAATAAATAACACGAGTATAATATCGAAGGAAAACTGTGGTAAGTAGCCCGTCGTGCAATTATTACATTAAGCCTACATACAACCAGCCTGGCTCGTTCCTTCGTTGAATCCTCTGGAACAGAGCGGCAGCGAGAGAATGTGGGAGAAAAA